AATAGTAAGGAGCTCTGGTAGCATAGTGGTTACGAATCTGTCTGCTAACCTCAAGGTCAGCAGTTCAAAACTACCAGCTGTTCCATGGAAGAAAGATGAGTGTTTCTGCTCCCATAAAGATTTACAGCCTCGGAAACCCTGTGCTGGGTCACTGTGAATCGGAACCTACTCCACAGTACTTAACAACAACAACATAGGCCAAAAGTAGATAAAAACATTAAATAAAGACATAAGAGGACAACGGGTATAAACACAGGGCTCACTAGTAACTGATGGTAAATGAACTTAAGGAATGGAGACTGGAATTAGGGTCAGGATTGATAGCTTGATAGCTGAGAGGCCGTACTATTTGGAACCTGACACTCAATAGCCCTTTGGCAAATAGTTTTTTTAAACTATTGTGTTTGAACTAGTGTGTTGCATGAAAATGGTTTAAAGCTTGGCAGCTATTATCTCTCTTCTTACGTTTGATAGAAAAGCCATTCCTTAACTTTATTAAGTTTTGTTGGTAAAGCAAACTGGCATGTTTTTACACAAGTATGTGGAATCGCCTGTATGTGGTCTTCCTTAATGAAAGGGCAGTGGGTTCATCAGACATTTCCCTTCTACCCCCCCCCCAATTTCTGTCTCCAGCCTCTGTGTCCAGATGTATGACTGGTTTGACTACCATGGCCACATGTGTATCTCCTTTGAACTCCTGGGCCTTAGCACCTTCGATTTCCTCAAAGACAACAACTACCTGCCCTACCCTATCCACCAAGTACGCCACATGGCCTTCCAGCTGTGCCAGGCTGTTAAGTGTGAGTTGGGTGGGCTGAGGCGGACTCTGGGGCAGCCCCTCCCTCTATTAAACCTCTCTTATCTCGGTGCACTGGTAAAGCCTCCAAACCAACTCTTGTCTGCAATACTTTTATGCTCTTCATCTTGATTGACATCATCTTTTCTGACTTAACTTCTTAATTGATGTCTCCACCATAACTGATTGCTCTTACTCCATATTCACCATAGCAAGAGTTGGAAGAAAAAGCCTTTGAAACTGAAGTGCTACGTTTCCTCATTTTCCCTTTCCCCTTCTTTCCAATTTTTAGAGAAGTATAAGTCATAGACTGCAAACTCAAAGAAACAGAAACACTCTACTAAGCTTGGAGATTGACATTTTTCTGAGATGAGATGGTCACAGTTCCTAGCCAAGTAGACAGGAACGGAATAGTTGACCCAAGAGGCCTGATACCAAGTAGACAGGAACAGGGAATAGTTGACCCAAGAGGCCTGATACCAAGTAGACAGGAACAGGGAATAGTTGACCCAAGAGGCCTGATACAGAATCTAGACCAACACATAGTTCCTCTTCCGTCTTCCCAGTACAAGTTCACATACGAGTTCACAGAATGTCGAATACTCATGTGCCAAAGTTAACACTAAAACATAATAGCACATTTTGTTTTCTCTTTTAGTTGGGAGTTGCATATGTATCTTAGTAGGGCCTCTTGGACTAGGCATTTCATTTGGATATGAAGCAGAAAGCAGCCCTAGTCATTCTGGGCCAGCTGGTGCTAGTCGCATCCCTTGGCTGCCTGGACTGAGCTTGGCCTGGCCTTCTCCCCCGCAGTTCTCCATGATAACAAGCTGACACATACGGACCTCAAACCTGAAAATATCCTGTTTGTGAATTCAGACTATGAACTCACCTACAACTTGGAGAAGGTAAGGTGGACAGAGCATCTGTCCCAAGGCCGGTGGAGACAGGAGTTGTGCTTTGACTTTTGCATAATCCTTTCTGTTCCCTTTTCTTTCTCCTACATTTTCTCCTGTCTGGCTCCTATTGGGTAAAACCAGTGTACTAGAATAGCTTGCAAGGGAGAAATTAATTAAAACCAGAGTATAAGAATGGGTTCAAAGAAACTTAAGAGGGCTTAAATTGTAAGAGTACTTGGAAAAGACCTCAGATAATTTTCCAATAGAGTGAAAATGCTTTTAAAGTTCTTGGTTTAGACTTCCCACTCTTTCAGATACATATTTTGTAAAATAGAAAAGCAGCTTTCCTTGACTAACTGAAGATAATGGGGAGCTAAAAGCTTTAGGAGTCCTGGTCTGGTGCTATAGGATAAGCACGAACTGCTGACTGCAAGGTTGGCGCTTCACACCCACCAGCTACTCCTCAGAAATCCTATATGAGTTGGAACCGACTAAGTAGCAACAAAACAGAACAAGAGCTCAAGATGCCCCATATTTCCCTTGATTCCTTTGTTGCCTGTTACATACTTCTAGAAAAAAATTCATACTTTTTTTTTTTTTTTTTTCAGTTTTCAAGTACATACAAATTTTCCCATAATCATATTTTAATCCACTTCCTCCTATTAAAACTACTATGCTGGGCAGGGAAGACTCTAAAGTAGGTGATTACTGGTGGAGTGTGTGGGAGTGGACAGGCCAGTTGTCATTGTTAGGGCTCAGGAGCACTTCATAGAGCAGTGGTGGAACCCTCTGAAGAGAGGAGTTTTTCATTCTCTTCTTGCTTGGCTTTTAGAAGCGAGATGAGCGCAGTGTGAAGAGCACAGCTGTGCGGGTGGTAGACTTTGGAAGTGCCACCTTTGACCATGAACACCATAGCACCATTGTCTCCACTCGTCATTACCGAGCACCAGAGGTCATCCTTGGTAAGGGAGGGCAAGACTCCAGATGTATGAGATGTGGTTAGGGTAGACCTCACTAATGCCTCTTAACACTGTATTCCTTCCCCCCATTCCCACCTAGAGTTGGGTTGGTCACAGCCTTGTGATGTGTGGAGCATAGGCTGCATCATCTTTGAGTACTATGTTGGCTTCACTCTCTTCCAGGTAAGTGGTGGTGGGTTATCTTACGTGACTGCCTGACTTTATCCTAACTGATTTCTGCTTTACCACCCCACCACTCCACATTGCCCTCTTCACAGCTAGTCCTAATCCCCTTTCCTCATCACCAGTCCCATGTTTGCTTCTGTCTTTGTTTCTCAGACCCATGACAACAGAGAACATTTAGCCATGATGGAAAGGATCTTGGGTCCTATCCCTTCCCGGATGATCCGAAAGACAAGGTGAACCTTGAGTGGGAGGGACTTAACCTTTTCCCTTTTCTCTCTACAGAATTGGTCTATTTCACATCATTTTCTTTTTTTCTTTGATGCCTCCCCTCCCCACCAGCTACTCAGATGGGGCATAAAAGAATTATCTCATAACAAGAGGAACCTCCTGGTTCCTCAACCTCCCCTTCCCCTCTAGGAAGCAGAAATATTTTTACCGGGGTCGCCTGGATTGGGATGAGAACACATCAGCTGGGCGGTATGTTCGAGAGAATTGCAAACCACTGCAGGTGAGCGGGGCTGGGAATAAATAAGTGTCCACCACCCAGAAATCGTGTCCTCCTTTAGGGGATTTGCCATGAGCACTGGGTTAAGAAAGGAAGGGTAGTAACATGGAAAGAAGACATCTTTTGTCAAGAGAGGAGAGATGAGAGGGAGTGGTTTTGTGAAGGGGAAAGGAGGTTAGTCAGCCACGTCTGTCCAGAGCCAACCAGAGATCAAAGTAATACCCTGCATTATTTAGGTCAGACAAAAAAGAATAACCTGCCTTTGAAGAGCTTACATGTTAATGAGGAGCTAAATAAGATTCATGATGTTGACAAGGATATACAAATAGAATGTCCCAGAGATTGAAGGAGTATCTGTGCCTAGTAGGAAGGTAGCTGTCATACCAGAAACATTGATCTTGGTGTGGTCTTGGTAAGGTAGCATTCACTATGGTTTCAAGCAGAGCCCTGGTTCTCCAATATTGAAAGCTAGGGCCTGGAAGAAGGCAGGGTTTGTAAGACACCTTGCCTCCCTCACCTTTTTCCTGCCCTCCACCACCAGCGATATCTGACCTCAGAGGCAGAGGAACACCACCAGCTCTTCGATCTGATTGAAAGCATGCTGGAGTATGAACCTGCTAAGCGGTTAACTTTGGGTGAAGCCCTTCAGCATCCTTTCTTCACCCACCTTCGGGCTGAGCCACCCAACGCCAAATTGTGGGACTCCAGTCGGGATATCAGTCGGTGACGATCAGACCTGGGCCCCCTGCATGTTTTAGAGCAGTGGGTGTCCAATCCAGGACAGTGGTGCTTTTTTATACACGAGAACAGAGCCGGAACTCACTCCTCACTCCTTCCTCTTGGTTCTCTACACATCTGTGAATATGTGAAATAGTGTAAATATGACAGAACTTGTACCTATTGATTCAAACTCTACCTTGTAAATAATGCCATTCCATCTTACACTCTTCCCACTGTCACCTGCCCCTCCCCATGGAATTTGATGGGGGCAGAATTAAATTACCAGGTGGCATCTACCCTGTGTTTTATAAGAAATTTTGTACAGTCTTTGTGAAATAAAATGACGTGCTTCATCTGATCCCCATCACTGGAATTTTAGGTTTGGGAATGTTGCGGTGGAGGGCTGAGAATACTGTCAACTTTCCTGAGTTCGTGTATGAAGGGAAGCTGCCTTTTACCTCCTAAATTAACCCCATCTGGGCCATGAACTTTATCTAAGTTGTCCCTCTGGAGGATAATGATAGATCAGATAACATACCTGGCCTTGGAATAGAGGAGTGTAAGATGTCACAAGTATGATGTGAAATAATGAGATGGAAAAGAACTCGATTTTATAGAGAAGGATTTCTACTCCAGTAAAGATTGATAGCCTCCGAAACCCTATACAGGGTCGTTTTGAGTCAGAATCGAGTTCATGGCACACAGCTAGCCAGGGTGGACCGCAGATGAGCGCCCAAAACCTAGGTGGAAAGCTTTCACAGGCTTCTGAAAAGCCACCGCGACCCTTAAGAGTTATCCCGTCGTACACCTCGAGATACTCGGCAAGACCAGGGTTCTGATGCGGAAAGACTGATGGGAGATGTAGTTCTTAAATTAGAGGTCACGTGGGAAAGGGGCGGTGTTTGGTCTTGAGACCCGGTTAGAAGAGTCATCTAGGGCACTTCCGTATTTCCTTTTAACCCAGACGCAAGCGCAGCGTGGTGCTGCTGCGGAGGTCCTTGTGATCTTTCCGGTCGGGGCGACCAATCCGGCCATAGAGAAGCGGGGCGGACCGAGAGGAGCGAAGCGAGCTCGTCCAGCCACTGTCGCGGCAGGGGCGTGGAGAGCTGGGGGCGGCCAGGGCCGCGATTGCAAACATGGCTCAGGAAAGAGACGGCGGGAACCCGTTCGCCGAGCCCAGAGAGCTTGATAACCCCTTTCAGGTGAATTTCTCCGACCTTCTCAGGGCAGTTGGGTTAACTTTTCGCAGTTCTATAGGGTTAGGCTAATTTATATTTTCAATCATGACATTTGATCCAATGAAGTGCCGCTACATGGGGGTGAGGGTGACTCCAGACCAGTGAATACCTTAGGGGCGGGCCCTGCCCTTAACAAGGTGTACCGGCACTGTGGGTTGAAGCAGTGTGACCATAGAGCGCAGTCCTGGGAGTCACAACAATTTAGGAGCGATCCTGGGAATTCCTCCAGTAGGCACCAAGTGCCAGCTGAGCCCCAGGTCTCTGCCCTCAGGACCCAGCTGTGATCCAGCACCGACCCAGCCCGCAATATGCCACACTCGACGTCTACAACCCTTTTGAGACTCGGGAGGTGAGTTTCTGGAGAGCACATGAAAGCCAGGAAGTCCTGTCCCTGGCTAAGCATCGGGCGTATTGCCTGCAGAGGAAGGAAGCACCATCGTGATCTTAGCTCGTCTACGCCATGGCTTGTTTAATTAACTAGGCATCCCGTTTGAAGCAGTCTTGGGATTCTGGTAGGGTCTAACCCAAGGCTTTTGGGAAGGCACTGAAGAGAAAACTGACTCTGGTTAGGGGTGCTGTTAGAAGCCAAGGAGGGAGGAGGTCTAGACCTGTTTGTCCCATTAAAATAGAAGATGGTGAAGATTTTAAGAGATTAAGCGTAGGTGGGTAGATGAAGGCTTTGAATTCTTGCTAAGGAATTGGATGTCAAGGGGGATGATGTGGACTGATGCTGGTCATCAATGAGTTCTCTGACATCAACACAAGAACAAACTTTCTAACAGCTAGGGGAGGCTGATTCCTAAGTTTTTTTCCCAAATCCAGCAGTCACCAGTTTATGAGCCTCCTGCCCCTGCACCGTTGCCTCCACCCTCAGCTCCCTCCTTACAGCCCTCGAGGAAGCTCAGTCCCACAGAACCCAAGAACTATGGCTCCTATAGCACTCAGGTATAGGGGATGCATGGATGGGGTTGGGGGAAGTGGCCATTCCTAACACCCAGGACTCATGTCTTTCTCTGCTTATACTGGGCAGGCCTCAGCTGCAGCAGCCACAGCTGAGCTGCTAAAGAAGCAGGAGGAGCTCAACCGGAAGGCAGAGGAGTTGGACCGGAGGGAACGGGAGCTGCAGCATGCTGCCCTGGGGGGCACAGCTAGTAGGTGGACCCTTGATGGGCAGGGGGTCCAGTGAAGGGAGCAGGAAGGCGTCTGATTGTCTGTCTGTAAGAAGCTAAACAAAAACATAAAAGTATGGACTCTGGAGCCAGACTGCTGACTTAGAATTTTGGTTCTATCCTTTACTAACCATGACATTCTAGGCAAGTTATTGTATTTCTGGGTGCCTCAGTTTGCTTATTTATAAAATTAGAGTAATGCTTGTACTTGTTTGACCAGATTGTTGTGAGAGTTAAACACTGTCATATATGCAAAATGCTTAACACCATGCTTTTAAAACAAAACTCTTTGCCATTGAGTCACTTCCAAAGTAGAATTGTCCCATGGGGTTTCCACAGCTGTAATTTTTAGATAAGCACTGGACTGCTGACCTCAAGGTCGGTGGTTCAAACCCAATAGCAGCTCCTTGGAAACCCTATACAGGGTCTCTATGGGTCAGAACGGACTTGACAGCATTTAACAACAACAACAAATTGGAACTGACTTAATGACACTTAACAACAATCTTTATAGAAATAGATTGCTACATCTTTTTCTTTAGGGAGTAGCTGGTGGGTTTGAATGACTGACATTACAGTTGTCAGCTGTGCACTTAACCACTGCGCCACATGGCTCTTTAGCACAGTGTTGTAAATAATAATAAATATTTACTCCTGGTGTGGAAATATAGGATAAGCACTTGACTTCAAACCACAAGGTCAGCAGTTCAAACCCACCAGCTGCTACTTGGAAATGACAGGGTTGTTCTGAGTCTGAACTGAATTGATAGCACTTAATAACAACAACTTGACTATTATTTTTGCCACATACATGCACACACACCTTTGTCTTCTTAGACCCTGAATTAGAGGACATGGGATGAAGGCCAGGAGTAATAAGCTCTTGTTAGTCTCCACTGACTTCTGGGGTCCTATTCTCTTTGTGCCTTACAGCTCGACAGAACAATTGGCCCCCACTACCGTCTTTTTGCCCAGTCCAGCCCTGCTTTTTCCAGGACATCTCCATGGAGATTCCCCAAGAATTTCAGAAGACAGTAACCACCATGTACTACCTGTGGATGTGTAAGTAGTAGGAATGCTCGTGAACTCTTGCCTTGTCACATGCATAAACATATTCTGAGTCCATTAAATCTCTTTACACCAGCAATCCCCGTGATTGAGATATGCTTGTTCTGTCACCCCTGTTAGCTTGAAGATGCCATGAAGGCAGAGCTTCCGTCCTTTCCCTGCTTTGTCACCACTAGTGAGGGTTGGCTAGGTGTATATGGGAAGGAGCCCTCATTGTAGTCCAGAAGGCCCCATCATCCTGTCCTTCTACCCCTTAGGCAGCACCTTGGCTCTTCTCCTGAACTTCCTCGCCTGTTTAGCCAGCTTCTGTGTGGACACTAGGAATGGCTCAGGCTTTGGACTTTCCATCCTGTGGATCCTCCTTTTTACTCCTTGCTCCTTCGTCTGCTGGTACCGCCCCATGTACAAAGCTTTCCGGTAATTGAAGGTGGGGGGGGAGGTAGGGCAGGGAACTGGGAACCTGGGATGGGCTTTGCATCTACTCTTCATCTTTGATTCTTCTCCCACCCTCCTCAATTTTTCTTTGTCCTTGCAGGAGTGACAGTTCATTCAATTTCTTCGTTTTCTTCTTCATTTTCTTCGTCCAGGATATACTCTTTGTGCTTGAGGCCATTGGCATTCCAGGATGGGGGTTCAGGTCTGTGAGGCTACCATCTCCCTCCTCCCTCCTCCCACTGCTTTAGACTAAGCTTGCACTGGATACTGGGGTAGGAGTAACCACGGTTGGCAGGAGGGGTGGGGGAGTCCTGAACAAACAAGGATCTATGTGGATCTATGAAGAAGCCTGGAAGAGTGTGGACAGCTAATGGCCTGTAAGCTGGGGTCAAACTATGAAGACAGCGGGATGTGGTTGGGATTGTGTTGTGAGGATTGCTGCCAGACTGACAGAAAGACTTAGTTTTGTCTTCTGTTTCTATCTCTGATGGAGTGGATGGGAATCAGGCATGTTTGCGAAAGTAACTAGTGGAGAAGCTGGAAGGACAGAGACCCAGCTTGGAGCAGCCCCTCTTGACTACCACATGCTTTCTCCTCCTTACAGTGGCTGGATCTCCGCTCTGGTGGTGCTGGAAACCAGCACGGCTGTAGCTGTGCTCATGCTCCTGGTTGCCTTGCTCTTCACTGGCATTGCTGTGTTGGGAATTGTGATGCTAAAGCGGGTGAGGGGGGCTGGGTTGAAGGGGGAGACTGGAGGGTGAGAGCATGAGTCCCTGAGGGCCTCATGAAACTGGGGAGAACCAGGTTGATGGGTGAGTTTTCAGCTAATGGACTTCTAGTGGGTTTGTTTCCCTGTGTGTTGTGTGTGTGTGCGGGAAGAAGAGCCAAGAAGGAAAAGCTAGAGCAGGCTGGTGAGTGGTGCTGACGTTCTTAGGTTGGGGTTGAATGTTAGGGGCTGGGACCTGCTATAACAACTCTGTCCTTTGCTTGCAGATCCACTCCCTGTACCGCCGCACAGGTGCCAGCTTTCAGAAGGCCCAGCAAGAATTTGCTGCTGGTGTCTTCTCCAACCCTGCGGTTCGAACTGCAGCTGCCAATGCAGCAGCTGGGGCTGCTGAAAATGCCTTCCGGGCTCCATGACCCCTGCCGGGGTCCCTGGCCCTGCCATTTTCAGGGAGCTAACAGCCCCCATTCCTGGGTTCTCTGTGACCTGGCGAGGCATCACTACTGGATGTCACCTTTCCAGGGCCCCAGTGCCATGGCCATGACTGCTGAGTCTGGTTCACGGGAGCAAGGAGCCCACTGTGACCCTGTCACATTGCTTGCCCCCCTCCCATCAGGCCACATTGCTGCCACCTCTCACACCACCCCAATCTCAGCTTCCCTCTGTTGTGCCAAGGCTATTGCTTCGGTTATTTAAATAAAAAGAAAGTGGAACTGGAATTCAAGCCCTGTTTCATGATTTTATTGGGAATTGACCTTTTGAAAGAAAAAACGTGTAGGGGACTGGAGTGGAAGCGAATATGGACTCCTAATGGAAGTCAGACCTGGACTTGAGAGACTAGGCAGACTGGAAGGCACATCCAGGATGGCTGGCACAGGCAGCGGCAGGGCGGCCCGGGGATAGGTTTGCAAATGGCAAGCCACCAGGGAGCCCTGCTCCCCCTCCCTTCTGCATTAATGACCTGGGGAAGAGCAACATCCTCGGCTGATAATGCCATGGGCTGGGTGGGGCTCAAGTGCTTGCAGAGATGATGGTTGATAACTCTGTCCTTGGTTGGGGGAGAGGCAAGAATTGAGGGAACGCTCACCAGGCTGGCTGACTTGGCCGGCTAGCCCCGCCCGTACCTCCTGACGGCCCTCTTCCACGGTATCTCCAGCTTGGACTACAACTCCCAGGGTGCACCTCACCGGCCCTCGACATCATGCCCCTCCTCCTCCATCCCCCACCCAGTCACCAGTCCAGGACCTGCTGCAGCTTGAGCTGGGGTAGCGGAGCTGGGTGGGGAGGGGAGCCGGGCAGGCGACCCAAGAGACAGCGGTGCCGCGGCCTCTCCCCACCAGGCGGGCCCGGATCTCACTAGACACCTGGAGGGCACACGAGCCGCACCTCTAGAGTCACCGCGCGCTGATCCCTCCCCTCTTCTCTAGATTTCTTCCCATCTTTATCTTCCCCACCCTTACCCCGCTCTGGACCGCCGTCCTCCCTGCACTCTCAGGCCGTCCATTCTCGGCGCCCCACCTCCCTAGGGAGATGCGATGAGCCGGCGCCCCCGTGTCCTCACCACCACCCCGGGCACGGTGCCCGCCTGGTGCCAGTGGTGGGGAGGGTGCACCCTGCGGCCCCTCCGTGACACCCCTCCCTTGGGGTCCCCCTCAGCTGGCGTCCCAGGGCCACGTCCCAGGGGACCCAGCCAGGGGGTGGGCTCTAGAGCGAGGAGGGTGGAGAAGAGAAAGGACGGGGCCTTGGGCGCCTCTGAGATGCTCCCAAGCGCCAGGGCGGGCCGAGAGAGGTGTAAGCAACGGGGCGGCAGGCATGATGCCCTCGCCTAGTGACTCAAGCCGCTCTCTGACCAGCCGGCCCAGCACCCGGGGCCTTACCCACCTCCGCCTCCACCGTCCCTGGCTGCAGGCTCTGCTCACGCTGGGACTGGCCCAGGTACTCCTGGGCATCCTGGTGGTCACCTTCAGCATGGTGGCCTCCTCCGTCACCACCACCGAGAGCATCAAGAGGTCCTGCCCATCTTGGGCTGGGTTCTCGGTGAGTTGGGTGCTTAGCTGTTGGGTGGGGGATGCTCTTCTAGCCTCACCCCTTCACACCAGCTGCAAGTCCACATCCTGGGCTCTCTTCCCTCTTCTGGTTTTTTCCTTCCGTATAGGGCTGGGTGTACCCTGTGTGGTGAGGGGCTCACTCTGTTGCCTCTCCTGCCAGACTGAGCCTATACATACTCTATTCCCAGCTGGCGTTCTCCGGAGTGGTTGGCATCGTGTCTTGGAAGCGGCCATTTACTCTAGTGGTAGGTGCTAGGGTCTAGTACCCACTGTGTGGCAGATGCCCAATACCTGAGGGGCTGTCCATTAATGCCCTAAAGGAGGGAATTGGCTCTCCAGTTCATGCCATCCAGGCACAAAGTGTCTGTGAAGGAGGGTGGCTTCATTCATGGTACAAGGGCTCTTGGGATGCAAAACCTGGCACCTGTGTGGGTTCCAGACCTGAGACTGCATGCACCCTGTTTCCCCAGATCTCCTTCTTCTCTTTGCTTTCGGTGCTCTGTGTCATGCTTAGCATGGCTGGCTCTGTTCTATCTTGTAAGAATGCTCAGCTGGCCCGAGACTTCCAAGACTGTTCCATGGTAAGATTTGAGGAGGGAGAGCCCAAAAGAATGGGGTGGTGGAGGTGTGCTAGACACCTGCGTTTGTCCTGACACTGGTTGCCGCTACTTGCCACTCCCACTCAGGAAGGAAAGGTCTGTGTGTGCTGCCCCTCTTTTCCTCTTCACCGGCCCTGTCCAGAGTCCGGGGAGGAACTGAAAGTTGCCCCTAACTCTACCTGTGATGAAGCCCGAGGGGCCCTCAAGGTGAGCATGCACCCCCACCTCCATCTTTTCTTCCTCCCTCACCCTCCTTCTAATTTCCATCCTTGCTTCCCTAGTCACAGCCATTAACTCTGTCCCCCCACCCCCCAGGCTCCTCACAGACTCCAAACCTGTAGGCTTGACCTTTCCCCAGGTCCTTCTCACTCTACTCTTTTCTCTTCCCTTCTCCAGAACCTGCTCTTCAGTGTCTGCGGGCTCACCGTCTGTGCCACCATAATTTGTACCCTGTCTGCTATCGTCTGCTGTATCCAAATCTTCTCTCTGGACCTCGTGCACACGGTGAGGGTGGACCCAAAGTCAGGGTCAGGGAGGTATGGTGAGGGGGGTGCTGGGCAGGGATGCTGGGCCTGGGCCTGACAGAGCTGGTAGCTGAGGTCAGGGTTAGGGATATGTATTGGAGGCACATCTATTGGAGGGGTGTTTAGGGAGTGCAGGGGTTAGAGAGGAAGGGGATGACAGGAAGTGGGTGAAGTATGTGGTATCAGGGTGAGGCCAGGAGGCACGGCTTAATAGAGTAGGATTAGAAGGAAGAACTTCTGGATGGGGCAGAGCAAAAAGTCCTGAGTAGGCGGGAGAGGGAGAAAGGATGGATGTACTGAGGGAGATAATCAAAACTGGTGGGGATGCTAGATGGGGAAGGGCCACATGGAAGAGGAGTTTCTGAGTGGGTGGGGCCAGAACTAGAAGTCTTGGGTGGAGGTGGGGTTAGAGGTAGACCTGGTTGTTAGTGAGTGAAAGGCCATAGTGGGAGGGGCTTTTTGGAAGGACAAGTCCAAGAAAATAAAGGTAAGAGAGGAATTTGGGGATTTAAAGGGGAGCTATATTCCTAGAAATCAAGTTTGCTGACCTGCTTACCCCCCCAGCAACTGGCCCCTGAGCGCTCAGTCTCAGGCCCCCTGGGGTCTTTGGGCTGTGCGTCTTCACCCCCAGCCCCTCTTCTACACACCCTGCTGGACTTGGAGGAATTTGTACCACCTGTGCCCCCACCGCCCTACTATCCCCCAGAGTATACCTGCAGCTCCGAAACAGATGCACAGAGGTGAGGCCTGGCCGGTCCTGCTGGGGAAAGCAAGGGAGGAGGCTCTAGCTGGGGTTTAGACTAGTGGGGAGGGATTTTGGTGGAGTAAGAGTGGTTTTCCAGGCTTTCACATCTCCCTCATTCTGCCAGCATCACCTACAATGGCTCCATGGACAGCCCTGTGCCCTTGTATCCTACTGATTGCCCCCCTTCTTATGAGGCTGTCATGGGGCTACGAGGAGACAGCCAGGTAAGATGGGAAGTCGGGTGGAGCCTTGAAAGCCTAGTGGGCTGCAGCAAGTGGACTAGATAATAGTTCTTGTGATCTTTGTTACACTAGCACTGCCATCTCTGATCGTCTTCCTTAGCGTCTGGTGAGGAGGTCAGGGTTGTAGGAACTATAATTTCTATTGGAGGTGTGGAAACAGACTCAAATAAGTAAAGTGACTTGCACAATGTGATAAAACTTGATCATCTCCAGAGCAATGTCCAGCACATGGGGGTGGCTGTGACATTGTATAGGGCTGGCCTCCTGACCCTGTATCTTCTGCAGGCCACTCTCTTTGATCCTCAGCTTCACGATGGCTCCTGCATCTGTGAAAGAGTGGCTTCCATTGTAGATGGTGAGCAGGCATCAGGAAGGCGAGACAAGGGCTCGCCAGGGAGGGTGGGGCTGGGTACGGATAAGGGGAGGGGGAGACGGACTGTGTTGGTGACTTAGGGACAGTGAGGGCCTAGACTGATTTCTTAGCACCCTAGATTTATCTATCTCCTCTGTGATAAAGCTAGAGGCAGAAAGGCCAGGGAGAGGCTGGGCCTAGGAGAAGAGAAACTGCCTGGGCTTGACCAGCTGGTGTTAGCCAGTGCCTCCTGCCACTCACAGTGTCCATGGACAGCGGGTCTCTGGTGCTGTCAGCCATCGGTGACCTCCCTGGGGGCTCCAGCCCATCAGAGGACTCGTGCCTACTGGAGTTGCAGGGTTCTGTACGCTCTGTTGACTACGTGCTCTTCCGCTCCATCCAGCGCAGCCGTGCCGGCTACTGCCTCAGCCTGGATTGTGGCCTGCGGGGCCCCTTTGAAGACAGCCCCCTTCCACGGCGGCCCCCTCGGGCTGCCCGCTCCTATTCCTGCTCTGCCCCGGAAGCTCCCCCGCCCCCAATAGGTGCCCCCACGGCTGCTCGCAGCTGTCACCGGCTGGAGGGCTGGCCACCCTGGGTAGGACCTTGCTTCCCTGAGCTGAGGCGGCGGGTCCCCCGGGGAGGCAGCCGGCAGGCAGCGACTATTCCCACCCGAGCCCCCACTCGACGCTTCAGCGATAGCTCAGGATCCCTCACCCCACCGGGGCACCGGCCACCTCATCCGGTTTCCCTACCACCACTGCTGCTGCCTCGGTCCCACAGCGACCCGGGCATCACCACCTCCAGCGACACCGGTGAGCCCCCTCTCCTCCAGGGTGCCTGAGAGAATAGACACTGGGAGTTAGAGGATTGGTGGTAATCACTAGAGTTTGGGACATTGTGGGGTTTCTAAGGAGGAAGGAGAGGTGAATTCATTCTCACAGCAGATACTCTTGAGCACTCCCTCCTTAGGGTGCATATTCATAGCTGAGTAGCTAAAAAGGAGGCCTTGTTTTTAGCCTAAGTTTCTCATCTGTAAGACAAGTACACTCAAAGTCCTATTGAATAACCTAGAAAAGAGCTAAAGCAAGTACAAATACTCAGTCCTGGCATAGAAAATGCACCTGATCACCTTTGCCTGCCAGGCCCTGGAGAAGATCCAGCAGTGAATGCTATCAACTTCTTCCCTGTCTTTGTGGGTTGTACCATTTAGTTGCTGGCTGACATAGGCAGAATGGAGAGGGTGTAGAAGCTCCTCTGGTCTTGAGTTCTCACAGAGGGTGGCGGGCAGGCAAATCCACAGAGGCACCTCCCTCAGTCCCTCTCATTCTCTGTCTCTCTTTAGCTGACTTCAGGGACCTATATACCAAAGTGCTTGAGGAAGAAGCTGCTTCCGTTTCCTCTGCAGATACAGGTCAGACATATGGCTGGTACTGCAGGATAGGAGATGTGGGGTGCTGCCTGACTCTTTATTCCCCCATTCCACCCACTCATGTGGTTCCTCTCCACAGGGCTTTGCTCTGAAGCCTGCCTCTTCCGCCTAGCCCGATGCCCTTCCCCCAAGTTGCTGCGTGCCCGCTCAGCAGAGAAACGTCGCCCTGTGCCCACCTTCCGGAAGGTCCCCTTGCCATCGGGCCCTGCACCTGCCCACTCTCTGGGGGACCTGAAGGGCAGCTGGCCAGGCCGGGGCCTGGTCACTCGTTTCCTCCAGATGTCCAGAAAGGCCCCAGATCCCAGTGGGAATGGAACCCATAGGCATAAGCAGGTAGGAGTTAGGGGAAACAATATTGTAGGGAAAGCCTAGAACTTTTGGTAGAACCATGTGGATCCCCTCCACTATGTCCCCATCTAGGTACCCCGAACTCCATGGGGCCGGCCAGGCCGAGAGAGCCTCCACCTTCGAAGCTGCGGTGATCTAAGCTCTGGCTCCTCCCTGCGACGCCTCCTGTCTGCCCGGCGGCTGGAGCATGGTACCCGTCCCCACAGTCTCAGCCTCAATGGGGGCAGTCGTGAGACTGGGCTCTGACCTAAGCTCCTTGCCATACTGAACAGATCCAGATGATTGCTGGGGTCACAGGCACCAGCTGGTTGGGACCAGTAGCCTCCAGGACCCTCTAGTACTAGCTGGCACAAAAAGAAACCCGCTGAACACCCCCAAAAGTGCCCCTTTCCTCCTACCTCTGGGGGGGCTCCTGCTGCTTGCCTCTGTTCCTTCTAGCAGAGGGCTTTTGTCCCCTGTGCAGCATGGGTATTCAAGCTGGGGTATAGGGAGGCACCCCTGCTTATTATCATTGGAGAAAGAAAACTAATCAACTTCTGTGCCCTGGGCATAAGAGGCTTTCTGATTCACCTGAGGCACTGTGGCCAGGAAAAAGACATGTCCTGGGTGTCTAGACATAGGGGACGGTGTGCCTTTGCAATGGGGTGGTGAGGCATGAAAAGTCAGGATCACCTGGTTGGCCTCCCAGCTCTGCCACCTCGAGCTGCATGACCTTGGGCAAATTATTTAACCTCAATCGCCTGATCCATAAAACATTGTGAGGATGATTGTTTGTAAAGCTCTTAACACAACTAAGTAAGCCTTCAATAAATTTCAATTTTCCGCCTCTCTCTTGGATCATTCTTTATCACTAGTGACATTTGCTCTAGGATCTCTCTCATATTTAAGAAAATTCTCTCAAGACCTCTGTGTTTGTTTTTAGCTACCACCCTGTATTTCTGCTCCTTTTCATAGTAAAATGTCTTCTCTCTTCTTTCCCTCTACTTCTTGCTTATCCAACCTCTCACCTCCCATGAACATCAGGCTCCTTCCCCACCTCTCTCTCCAGCCACTGCCCTTGTTTTCATTGATCAATAATGGTATCATACAATGTGCATCTCACTTGATCTCTAGACAACATTTAACCCAGTTGATTAGAATTTTTCTCAATTTTTTTCATTTTTTGGCTTTAAAGGTATCACACTCTCCTCATTTTCCTCCCCCTTCACTCTCTTGTCTTTCTTCACCAAATCTGACATCTCTGCTGGACTGCTTAACACTGGAGGACTGCAGGTTCTCTCCTCAGCCCTCTTCTTTGCCTTTTGCAATGGCTTACTAAGATTCATGACTTTAAGTACTATCCTGGTGTGGTGCTGCAGGTTAATGCACTGGACTGTAAGGTCAGTTTGAACCATAAGGTTGGCAGTTCAAACTCACCAGCTGCTCCTCGGAAACCCTATACAGGGTTGCTATGAGTCAGAACCAACTCGGTGGCATACAGCTACCACCAATGGCTTTATTGGAGTCCTGGTGTGGCGCTGCAGGTTAATGCACTGAGCTGTAAGGTCAGTTTGAACCACAAGGTTGGCAGTTCAAACCCACCAGCTGCTCCTCGGAAACCCTATGCAAACTTACTATGAGTCAGTACTGACTTGACAGCACTTAATAACAACAGCATGGGTTAATAGACCTTGACCTCTCTATGAGCTCCAGTCTCCAAGTCAATATCTCTGCCTGGTTGGCTCATGGATGCTGAGACTCAACATGACCACAACTGTCCTCCTGATGCCCAACCCTTGTACCTGTCCTTCCAGTGTTCCTATCTCAATAAATGACATTACCATATGCTCAGTTGCAAATCCAAAATCTTGGACTCCTGGTGTGGCGCTGTAGGATAAGCACTGGACTGCAAACCACAAGGTTGGTGGTTCAAACCCATCAGCTGCTCCTCAGAAACCCTGTACAGGGTCACGATGAGTCAGAATTGACTTGATAGCACTTGACAACAATAACACCAAGCCAAAATCTTATGAATCACTGATTTTTCTCCTTCATCTAATACATCTACTCCATTAGCAGTATATCCTGAATTCTCCCATGTATCACCACCATCCTCTCTTTCCAGTCTCTGAATTGATCTTTTATTTCTGCTCTTACCAACAATCTATTCTCCAACTAGCAGAGTAATGTATATGCCACCTCACATTTCAGCCTAAATATAATGGTTTTCCATTGTGTTTAGCATAATCTCCAAACTCCTTTGTAGAGTCAGGTGCAGCCTGAGTAACTCACTCTGCTCCAGCCAAACTGGCCTTACACCTGCTCTTTTCTCTACTCACTTCTCTGTAGTTATTTTATTCAGGTCCTTGCGTCACACTCACTTCTTCATTGAGAAACTCCAGTCATTTTATCTCACTGCCATATTTTGTTCAGAACACGTGTTACTATTTAAAACTATCTTGCTTGTTTATTTGTGTCATCCCATTGGAGTCCTGGTGTGGTGCTGCAGGATAAGCACTGGACTGCAAAGTCGGTTTGAACTACAATTTGCCAGCTGCTCCTCAGAAAACCTATACTGGGTCACAATGAATCGGAACTGACTCTAAATGGCACTTAACAAAAACACAGAATAGAAGCTCTGGAAAGTAGGGGCTTGTTAATTGTATTGGATTTGTTGATGATGTAGGTGCCATGGAGTAGATTCTTAATCATAGTGATTCCATGTGCCAGAGTACAGCAACCCCATAGGGTTTTCTAGGTTGTAATCAGCTCTGGTAGCATAGTGGTTACGAATTGGACTGTGAACCTCAGGATCAACAGTTTGAAACTACCAGCTGTTCTGCGGGAGAAAGATGAGGCTTTCTGCTCCCGTAAAGATTTACAGCCTCCGAAACCCTGTACAGTGTCGCTATGAGTCGGAACCGACTCCACGGCACATTACAACAACAACAATCTTTATGAGTGCAGATAGCTAGCAACCGAGTAAGTACTTCACCATTGTGCCACCAGGGCTCCTTGCACCAGGATCTAGTACATGGGTAGTAAACTGTTCTTGTTGTTATGTGCCGTGGAGGCCGTTCCGACTCAGCAAGCCTGTATAGGGTTTCCGAGGCTGTAAATCTTTACAGGAGCAGAAAGCCTCAGCTTTCATCTGTGGAACGGCTGGTAGTTTCGAACTGCCGACCTTGATTTGTAACCACTACGCAACTAGGTCCTCGATAAACACTCAGTTACTAAAGTGTTTGTTGTAAATGCCATACAGTTGGTTCTGGCTCATAGCGACCCTGTATAGGGTTTCCAAAGAGATGCTGGTGAGTTTGAATCGCCGACCTTGTGGTTCAAGCTGACCTTGTGCTGTAGTGTATCCCACAGCGCCACACCAGGACTGCCTACTAAAGTGATAATGAGGGATTTTGCAAGCCGTTTTGTGATCCCATGATTGTGGTGACAGCATGGTGCCTCAGAAGGAGGAAAGGGAGAAGGGAGGGGCCCTGTTCAGTGATGGCGTCAGGCTGTAAGCTTCTTAAATAATTCACATCATAACATTTTAGCCCCTGGCTCAGAGAAGGGTGAGACGAGGTCAGGACAACAAAATGAGGTAGGAGGGAGAGGCAAATGGGGTTCCCACTGGGGCAATTTCTGAGCACTGAATGTTCCCACCCTGAGGCTCCCTGAGGAGGAGGCTCAAGAACCCTGCTCAGCTCCATATCGGCTGGATTCCTTGAGGGAACGCATTCTCCTCGCACCCATTATGGTTGTGTTGACGGGCGAATGCTGAGGCGCATGCGTGGTTCTTGCTTCTCGTGCCAGCTGCTTCTAAGTAGGCTCCCAGAACACGTTAGCGCTCTATCTTGGCTCAGCAAGAGCGGTCTGTTCCCTCTGGGAGAACAGAAGTCCAAGACTGAGCATTTTACGGCTCTGTGTTGTGGATTTGTTACCCGGATCCCGGCGAACTTCCCGGAGCCTCCTTCCCTGTTCCGCCCGCCCTGTTTGCTGGCTGCCCTGGGAATTCCCTCTGTTTCCGGTTGGGGCTGCTGTTGGGCGTAATTGGGTGTTGCACCATTTAAATTTCCTCTTGCGTTTGTACGTGATCTTTTCATCTTCCTTGCTATTATTGATTGTAGGGGTGGTAGCAGTTTACCAAAGAAGAGAGTAGGAAATCTTCAAGCCCTGGTATCCACTTGCTTTTTAGGGGTGGAGTGAGAAGTCTACATAATTTACGCTGTTTTTAATCCTTCAACAAAAGTTCCGTGATTGTAGTACCAATGCCAGGCGTTCTGCTACGTTCTGGGATATAATGGGGTGTTAGGACAGACGGGAGTGCTTGCCCTACCGGGCTTACTCATGGACAGATAAGCAGGCAAATGAAAGAGCAATCTTTTGTGAACTGGGTGCTGTAACTGACATTAAACCTTTGAATTCCCCAGCACGATTGCCGTGAATGGAGTACTGGTGTAGCACCAAAGCATAAGCACTCGACCTCAAGATCAATTTGAACCGCAAGATTGGCAGTTCAAACTCACCAGCCGCTATCGGAAACCCTCGTTATGAGTCCGAACGGACTCTAAAGCACTTAACATTACAGTGAATAGGACAGAGTACAACTACTACATAGGAGTCCTGGTGTAGCTGGTGTAGCACTGTGAGATAATCACTGGATTGCAAGGTTGGTTTGAACCACAAGGTCACCAGTTCAAGCTCACCAACCGCTTGGGTCCCTATGAGTTGAAACTGACTAGTCTGACTAGTCGCTACTTAACAACACTTAGGGAAGCAGACTGCAACATTTTTCTCCCGTAGAACTGCTGCTGCTACTGCTGCTGCTGTGAGCTGCTGATGCGTTGGAACCACAGGCCTTTTTGCTTAGCAGCCTAGCCTTAACCAAGGCTCAGACAATTACTACTATTGATAAGTGGCGTCTAGTCAGTCCCTATATAGAGTTTCTTGAACTGCCGACCTTGCAGTCCAGAGCATCAACCCACAGCGCCACACCAGGACTCCATTACAAGTGTTGTTAAGCGCCGTCGAGTCGATTCCGACCCATAGCGACCCTGTACAGGGTTTCCGAGGCTATAAATCTTGACGGGAGCAGAAAGCCTCATCTTTCTCCCGCAAAACATCTGGTAGTTTCGAACTGCTGATCTTAAGGTTCGCAGCCGATTTGTAACTAATACGCTACCAGAGCTCCTTATTACAAGTGTGGTGAGAGCTATAAAGATGTGAGGGCTGTGAGAGTGATTTACAGGGTTATGTGGAGGTGTACGTGAAGAGTGCAAGAATTTCTTGGAGAAATGACATCTGCACTGAGCTCTGCTAAACAAATAGACATTTCGTTTAGTTACATTTATAATTTTCACTACAGTGTCCTATTTTACCTGGGAGCTGTTTAACTATGGAGTCCTGGTGTGGCGCTGTGAGTTAATGCGCCAGATTGCAAAGCCATTTGAACTGCAAGGTTGACAGTTCAAGCTCACCAACTGCTCCTCGGAAACCCTTATACAGGGTCACTATGGGTTGGAACCGACTTGACAGCACTCAACAACAATAAATGGACCAGAAGTTCAGTTCAGATGTCATTTCTCCAAGAAATTCTACCCCCTTCCCCACATCTTTATAGCACTTACCACAGTTGTAATTAATTGTCTAAGCTTTTTGGACTCCTAGTGTGGCACTGTAGGGTCAGCACTGGATTGTGAATCCCAAGGTCAGCAGTTCAAACTCACTAGTTGCTCCTTGAAAACCCTATACAGTCAAAATCCACTCGATGGCACTTAACATACCAGAAATACAACAACATAGATTCCTGGTGTGATACTGTAGGATCAACACTGGACTGGGAACCACAAGGTCAGCAGTTCAAA